CCTCTGATCTGACCCATGACCCCTGACCGCCTGGCCCTCTGACCACTTACCCCGGACCTCGACCCTGACCTCTGACCCCCTGACTCTGCCTCTGACCCTGACCCCTGACTCAGACACCCGACCCCTCAACTCCGGCCTCTGACACTGACCCCCTGACCCCTGACCTCTGACCCCGACCACTGACTCCTGACCCCTGACCCCGACCCCTGACCCCCGACCTCTGACCTCTGACCTGTGACCCCTGACCTCTGACCCCCTGACCCAATCCCAAGCCCAAAAATCCCAAGCCCAAAAAATAGGACTCTCAAAACCTAAACCCAAAAACTAAAACCTAAAAACCCAAAAACCTAAACCCAAAAACGCTCCAAACACTAATCCAAAAAAATAAGACGCTCAAAGCACTAACACAAAATATTAAGATGCTCAAAACCCTAACGCAAAAAATTAAGATGCTCCAAACCCTAACCCAAAAAATTAGGACACTCAAAACCTTAACCCTGGAGAACCTAACCTGAAAAAATCAATCAATAAATAAATAAAAATAAAATTTTAAAACCCTAACCCTAAATAATTGACCAAAAAGAAAACCCTAAGACCCTAACCCTAAAAAACCTTTCAACACTACAACCCATAAACTCTAAAACCCTAACACACTAACCCTGAAAAACTTAAAACCTTAACCCCCAAATCCCTAAAATACTAACCGTTAAAAATCCAAACCTAAACAACTTAAAATCCTAAACATAAACCCTGAGAATACTTACCCTGAAACCCAACCCTAGTGCCCTACCCCTGAAACCTTAAAACCGTGAATCAATCTTTGGAAAATAACATAGGCTCAGGAGAGGATCTCACTACGCTTACCCTGACTCTGACTCTGACCCTGACCCTAACCCTAACCCTACCCCTAACCCTAAGCCTCACCCTCTAACCCTAACCCTAACACTAACCCAAAACCTAACCCTAACTCTAACCCTACCCCTAACCCTAACCCCTAACCATAAACCTAACCCCCTAACCCTAACCCTAACCCTAACCCCCTAACCATAACCCTAGCCCTAACCCTAACCCAAATCCCTAACCCTAAACCGAGCCCTAACCCGAACCCTCACCCTAACCCTAACCCGCCTAACCCTAACCCTAAACCTAACCCTAACCCCGAACCCGAACCCTAACCCCCTAACCATAACCCTAAGCCCTAACCCTAACCCTAATGAACCCTAAGCCTAACCCTATCGCTAACCCTAACGCTAACCTTAACCCTAACCCTAAACCTAACGCCCTGACCATAACCCTAACCCAAACCCTAACCCCAAACCCTAACACTACCCCTAACCCTAACCCCTAACCCTACCCCCCTAATACTACCCCTAACCCCCTAACGATAACCCTAGCCCTAACCCTAAAGAACCCTAACCTTAAACGAAAACCCTAACCCTAACCCTAACCCTAACCCCCTGGCAACCGCACCCCGCACACTTGGTTCCCCCCTCATTTTGGTTCCCCCCCCCCCCTTGGGTCCCCCCGGAAACAAAATCCCGCATACTTGGTTCCCCCCTCATTTTGGTTCCCCCCCGGTGCGCCCCACAAATGGGTCCCCCCGGAAACAAAACCCCGCAAACTTGGTTCCCCCCTCATTTTGGTCCCCCCCCCCGGTGCGCCCCACAAATGGGTCCCCCCGGAAACAAAGCCCCGCACACTTGGTTCCCCTCTCATTTTGGTTTCCCCCCCCCCCGGTGCGCCCCACAAATGGGTCCCCCCGGAAACAAAACCCCGCACACTTGGTTCCCCCCTCATTTTGGTTCCCCCCCCCCGCACCCCCGTTGGGTTCCCCCCTAGCCCCATGGATCCCCCCCCCCCTTGGTGCCTTCCCCCCATTTTGTCCCCCCCCCCTTGTCCTAGCCATGCCCGCAGCAGCCGCTCGCGCTCCGCCAGCGCCTCCCACACCCGACGCTGCATCTCGGACAGGTGGAGGCAGGCACTGGGGGGTGGAATAAATTGGGGGGGGTCAATTTGGGGGGGTCTGGGGGCATTTGGGGGCTGGTGGCGCATTTAGGGGGCGGAGGGGACTGGTTCTCACCTGTAGGACTCGGCGTCGAGCCCCCCCGGGGGCAGCTGCAGGGCCAGGATGCCTGGGGGGGTGGGGGGGGGGGCATGTCAGCATCCTAATGGATCTAACCCTAACCCTAACCCTCTAACCATAACCCCCCAACCCCACAACCCTAACGGATCTAACCCTAACCCTCTAACCCTAACCCCCCAACCCCTGACCCCCCAACCCAACCTCCCAACCCCCCAACCCTAAAGGATCTAACCCTAACCCTCTAACCCTAACCCCCGACCCCCCAACCCCCTAAACCTAACCCCCGACCCCCCAACCCTAAAGGATATAACCCTAACCCTCTAACCCAAACCCCCCAACCCCCTGACCCACCAACCCTAACACCCGACCCCCCAACCCTAATGGATCTAACCCTAACCCTCTAACCCTAAGCCCCCAACCCCCCTACCCCCCAACCCTAACGGATCTAACCCTAACCCCCTAACCCTAAACCCCCAACCCCTTGACCCCTCAACCCTAACCCCCGACCCCCCAACCCTAACGGATCTAACCCTACCCCTACCCCTACCCCTACCCCTACCTTTACCCCTACCCCTACCCCTACCCCTACCCCTAACCCTAACCCTAACCCCTAACCCTAACCCCTAACCCTAACCCTAACCCCTAGCCCTAACCCTAACCCCTAACCCTAACCCTAACCCCTAACCCTAACCCTAACCCCTAACCCTAACCCCTAACACTAACCCTAATCCCTAACCCTAACCCCTAACCCTAACCCTAACCCATAACCCTAACCCTAACCCATAACCCTAACCCTAACCCCTAACCCTAACCCAAACCCAAACCCTACCCCGAACCCGAACCCTAACCTGAACCCGAACCCGAACCCGAACCCTAACCATAAACCGAACCTGAAACCGAACCCAAACCGAACCTGAACCCGAACCCTAACACGAACCAGCACCCGAACCCGAACCCACACCCGAACTCGAACCCTAACTCTAAAACGAACCCGAACCCGAACCCGAACCCAAAACCAAACCCTAACTGAACCCTAACCCAAACCCCAACCCGAACCCTAACCCGAACCCGAAAACAAACCCTAACCCTAACCCTAACCCCTAACCCTAACCCTAAACTTAACGCTTAAATGTGTCCGAGCGACGCCGCGATTAAATGTGCCCAAGTGTCGCCGCGCTAAAATGTGTCCGGGCGGCGCCGCTCTAAAATGTGCCCGGGCGCCACCGCGCTTAAAAGTGTCAGGGCGGCCCCGTGCTTAAAGGTGTCCAGGCGGCGCTGAACCCGAACCCTAACCTAAACCAGCACCCGAACCCTAACCCAAACCCTAACCCGAACCCGAACCCTAACCCTAACCCGAACCCGAACCCGAAACCGAAACTGATCCCTAACCCTAACCCAAACACGAACCCGCACCCTAACCTGAACACTAACTCGAACCTGAACCCTAACCCAAACCCGAACTCTAACCCTAACCCGAACTCGAACCCAAACCCTAACCCTAACCCTAACCCTAACCCGAACCCTAACCCGAACCCTAACCCTAACCCTAACCCTAACCCCTAACCCTAAGGCCCTAACCCTAACCTTAACCCATACCCCTAACCCTCTAACCCTAACCCTAACCCTCTAACCCTAACCCCTACACTAACCCCTAACCCCCACCCCCAACCCCTACCCCAACCTCTAACCCTAACTCTAGTTCCAGAGAACTACACTTCCCGATATGCTCTGGGCACCCAACATGGCCTCCCGGAAGTCCGGAGTCCCAGAACTACATTTCCCGGTATGCTCTGGGCACCCAACATGGCCTCCCGGAAGTCCAGAGTCTGAGAACTACATCTCCCAGCATGCTCTAAGCACCCAACATGGCCTCCCGGAAGTCCGGAGTCCGAGAACTACAGCTCCCAGCATGCTCTAAGCACCAAACATGGCGTCCCGGAAGTCCGGAGTCCGAGAACTACATCTCCCAGTATGCTCTCGGCACCCAACATGGCCTCCCGGAAGCCCGGTGCCGGAAAACTACACCTACCAGCATTCCCTGGCCAGCCTGCATGGCCAATCACAGGCCGAGTGTTCGAGAACAACATTTTCCAGCACCAACTCTAACTGTAGCCCTTACCACCGCCCTTACACAAGAAAGCCTCAAGCCCTAACCTTAAAAACCCTCGAAATCCCTACAGAACTAACCCAAACTATTTAACACACTAAACCCATGAAGACCTATGCCTAAAAGCCCTAACCCAAAAACTTAGGATGCTCCAAACCACATCCCGAAAACTTAGGATGCTCCAAACCCAAACCCAAAAAATAAGATGCTCAAAACCCTAACCCAACTACTTAGGATGCTCAAAACCCTATCCCCAAAAATTAGGGCACTCAAAAGCCTAACCCAAAAAATTAAGATGCTCAAAACCCAAACACCAAAAATTAGGATACTCAAAACCCTAGCCCTGGAGAACCTGACCTGGGATACGTTTAGGGTTGCTGAGAAAAAGCAAACACAGAGGAACCTGACCCAGAGCTACCCAATACCCCCAAAATCCTCCCAGTGCCCCCCACAAACACACACTGCCCCTACAACCCCCTCAGAACCCATCATCATACAAATATACCTCAGACTCCTGAATGTTCTCCCACAGCCCCTCAGGACCACCCAGAGCTCCCCAAGACCCTCATAAGTGGAGAACATATAGAGCTTCTGGGGGGGAGGGGGGGGCATGTGTCACAGGGATTTTGGGGGGGGGGGAGGGAGGGAGACACAGTAGGGGGCTTCTAGAGGGAGGCAGACAGACATATTGGGGGTTGGATGCTCTGGATCTGGGGGGAAGGAGCATGAGGGTTTTTGTTTTTTTTCTTTTTAATTTGTGGGAGTGTGGGGGGAGAGGGTCTGTGACAGAGCCAAAGCCTCAGATTTCAGTTATTTCTCCACATTTATTCTCCCTGCAGGTGAGCTATTGTTGTTCTGTCCTGCATCCTGACCCCTCCAAGTACTCAGCAAGGAGGGAGGAGGGGTGTGCAGACTGTGCAATACCCACGGGAAGTACCGTTGCATCTGTTCCTACAGCATTGGGCTGGTGGCTACCAGCACCACCTCCGTGGGGCCCTGCCTGTGGCTCTGCAGCCAGTCCAGCAGTTCCAGACTCCTTGCTTGGTGCACAGGGCGTGGGATGGTAGGGATGGTGTGGGCCACAAGGGACAGAGGCCCGCAATCCACAGAGGTCAGAGATCAAGATGTCCACATGGATCCGTGTAGACCCTCCAATCCACAAAGGCCTTGGCCTCATGGCACCAAAGAAGCCTTGGTTCCATGAAGATTAGAGACCAGTAGAAACCATTAACTTCAAACTCATCAGCGTGGCCCCAAAGACATTGGAGATATCCCCCTGACCTGACACTGATTGATGCCACGACTCAGATCCACTGGTCCAAGATGACTATAACCTCATGGACATTGGAAACATCACCATTTTCCAAAGCCCTTCAAAGTGCAACCCCACCCCACCCCCAAATCCAGACCCCCACTTGCCCTTACCCAATCAAATCCATAGCCCCTATGGTGAGGCCCTTTTTCTGACCATGTCCGTGTCGTGTCCCCCACCCTACCCCCTAAAGCATTGTGTCAGCAAGACACATCCTGGGCAGGGCGTGCTCATAGGGTCACTCCCCATAACAACAGACCACCATGGCTCGTAGCTTGTCCCTCACAGCCACCACCACCCCAGCCACAGCCTTCTGTATAGCCGTGGAGGAGAAGTAGAAGATGAAAGGGTCAAGAGCAGCATTAAGACTGGTGAGGAACAAAATATAGGACCTCCATTCTGGGCTCTTATGCAGCACAAAACCTACCACATGCGAGATGTTGTAGGGTGCAAAGCAAACCCCAAAATTGACCATGGTGGCCACAGCCAAACCCACAGCCCGTTGCTTCTTCTCCAGTGGAATATTAGGCCGAGCAAGGAGAGCCCGCACAAAGTTGATGTAGCAGAAAACGGTAACAGCAAACGGTAGGAGGAAGAGAACAAGAAATAGCTCCAGCCGCAGTGGGAGGACAAAGCTCAGCTGCTCCTGTGAGAAGTCATCATAGCACTTGTAGGTACTGTTGCTATTGGTATCATTGTGGCTTCTAGAAGCAGCAAGATGGTTGGGAACAGTCATGCTGTGGATGTCGGAGATCCAGGAGACATCAGCAGTGGAGATGCCAGGGATGGTTGTGACATTGTTGGTGAAGACTTTGGAGTTATAGGTCTTGGGGCCACTGGGACTGGAGATCCTGGAGCCATTGGGGACAGAGATGTCACCATTGGAAGTCTTGGAACCATTGACCATGGAGCCATTGTGGTTGTAGATCTTGAAGACCTTGGAATTGAAGTCATCAGAACTGGAGACTCCAGAGCTACTTGGGCTGAAGCCAGTAGAGATGGGGCCATCAGAGCTGGAGATTATGGGGCCACTGGGGTTAAAGCTGTTGCGGTTGAAGCCATCAGGGTTGGACATCCCATAGCCACCTGGCTTGAACCCATTGACCATGGAGCCATCTGGTCTAAAGCCCCGAGAACTGTTGTCCACAAAACTACCAAGCTTCGATACTGTGGATTGTCTATGACCATCATCATGATACTGTGCCACAAAGACAATGGAGCAATGCGAACAGGCCAAGAGCCAGAGGAAGGCGCTGGCAACCATTGTCCGCCCCAGCCTCCGCCTGTTCTTGAACTGGAGGGGGAAGACAACACCAAGATAACGCTCAACGCTGAGTGCTGCCAAGAAAAGACTGCTGAGATAGATGCTGGAGTAGAAGCAGAAGTTGGCCACAGGGCAGAGGACAATTGGTAAGGGCCAGGTCATGTCAGCAGCTGCTTCTGCCATCTTGAAAGGGAGGAAGAGGAGGAGGAAGAGGTCAGCGATGGTCAGGTTGAGCAGGAGGATGTCAGCAGGGTTGACACGGCGGCGTGCCTTGCACAGGAGGGTAACAAAGGTGAAGATGTTGGCTGGCAAGCCCACAATGAAGGTCAACACATAGGCAATGAGGATCAACATGGTGTCAGGACAGCGCTGCAGAGAAACGTAGGCCTGTAAAGGGGATGTGGGGAGGACAGGGTGGGCGGAAGGGGTACGCAGTGCTACATGTGTGACTCATGTTTGGGGGGAGATGCAGGCAGCTGGGTGGCTTGTCCTACTCCAACCAATGGACCCCGAGGGGACTTGGAGAGGACTTCTGGAGGCGGGGGGTTCTTGCACTGCTCCTACTGGTGCACCCTGAGGGGATCCAGGTGTCCAAGCAGCCCTCCTGTCACCACCACTTCCTCCCACTCCCAAAGGCGACCCAGACACCAGGGCGTCTGGTGCCACCCTGATTTGTTTAACTCATTTCCTGCTCGGCGTGGGGTGGTGGTGATGGGGGGGGGGAGGGAAGGGAGCAGCTGGACATGTGCCTGGGTCCCCTCTGCCAAGCCCCTGAGTCACTTATCAGGGATGGAGTGGGATAAGGAGGACCAAAGAGTCTGATCCCTCCCACCCACCCACCCACCCCCACCACCCCCTTGGGACCCAGATGTCGGGGGGGGGGGGGGGGTGGAAAGGGGAGGAGACCTGTGTCTCCCCCACACACTTTAGAGGTGAGGAAGGCTGGACCTGAGCATCCCAAGCACCCTCCAGCCCCCTCCCCTATACCATGTCGACTTCCTATGGCACCTGTGTTCCAGTTCCCCCCACCCACCCAGCTTCTCCCAGTTCCTTCTGGTACCCCCCACACACACACACACTCCAGCTGTGGGGGAACCAGTCTGTCTCCCCACATCACCTCCCAGGGATTCTTCCCTATCCTGTGGGGAGAGGACCCAAAACATCCCCCCAGCTAGGTTGTCTTCCAGTCCCTGCCCATCATCCATCCCCTCTGCCTTCTCTCCACCCTCCCACCACCCCCCCCACCCCACCACCATCTGGACCCCATCCTGTGCTCACCTCAGCTCCTGGTACCAATGGGACCCAGCCGGCCGGGTGCCTCCTCTTACAGCCCAGGGCACTCCCTGGGGAGGGGCCACGGTCTGGGGTGGAAGGGGGGGTGTGGGGGGTCCCTGATGGGTGCTTGCCTCTTCTGGGGTGGTGGACAACGCGTCCAGGGGGGCACCTGGATGCTGGAGTCCCCGGGATGCCTGTGTCTGCCTGGGGGGTGTGTATGGCTGGGGAGCAGAGGGGGAAATCCCAGACCGATGGGTTCCCAGGACATCTGTGTCCCCCGGGGGGGTTGCGGGGGGGGGGGGGGGGGGAAGTGGCTTTGAACGACGTCGAGGAAGTTTGAAGTTTCCTGACCGCAGACAGCAGCCACGTTCGTGGGCACACGTCCGCAGAGGAACCAGCAGAAGGGGAGGGAGGGAGGGAGGGAGGGAGAAGCTGGGGGGGGGAGGGCTCCATTTCCACTGGGTGCCCCCAATCACAACCCTGGGGCCTTCCCCATCTCCCCCTCCCCCACACTCCCCAGCATCCCAGGGCCCACTGGTGGCCTCGTCACCAAACTGGCAGATGAGAGGGAGGGTAGGGACGGGAGGGAGGGAGGGAGAACACACTGTGGGAAGGGGAGGGGAGAGAGGGTGGGGAAGGGCCTGGGAATAGCCACTGAGCTATTTTTAGCCACTGGATGAGGGATGTTTATTTAGCCACGGGGGAGGGAGAGACACCCCCCACCCACCCACACCCCCCCTTCCTGGTGCCACGGCTCGCCTGAGTTAGGGGCCAGCCCAGACGCCTGGGATCACGGCTCACAGCAGGAGACCCCTGCGGTTGGGGGGCTGGGGAGGGCCGTTAGGGTTAGGTTAGGGTTAGGGTCCTGCCTGGCCATCGGGGATGGCAGCGGGGAAGTGCCCCCTCCCCAGGCGCTGCCCTGATAACGGGGAGGGGGCACCTGCCCAGCACAGCCCCAGGGCACTCGGAAAGCCCCCAGAAGCTTTCTGGGAGTGGAGGAACCACGAAGGAAACCATGCTCTCACCCCCCCCCCCCCCCCCCCCCATTTCCCCTCCCCCATCTTCCTTTCACCCACTTGGCTCTCCTGGAGCTTGGAGAGGATGCAGGCACCCAGGTTCCCAGCCCGTCCCGTACCTTCACCCACTTGGCTCTCCTGGAACCAGGAGGGGACCCAGGCATCCATGTCCCTTCCCCCACACATACATACACCCCCATGGCCCTGAACCTTTGGGGGGAGGTGGTAAAGGCAAGGGAACGGGGAAGGATGGAAGGGGCTGACTCAACCCAGGTCACAGAGCCCAGCCCAAGGACCCACGGCCACCCCAGAAGCTCCAGCCTGGCTCTGCCCCTTGTCACCCCCAAGCCCATCCCCAGATGTCTGGGGACCCCCACAGCTGCCCCAAGCCTCCAAAGCCCTGCCTTGGGGCTCTCTTAGGCCTGAAGCCCCCTGAGATGCCTCCAGCTCAGCACCACCGACCCCCAGACACGCCAACAAGCCCAATGCCTCGCCTCCAGCCCCCCCAGGAAGACCCCCGCTTCGCTCAGAGGGTGCCCGGCACCTGGCCCGGAGCGAACCGAGCCCCATCGCATCCCAGACTTGCCGGAGGCCCCGTCGCAGGGCGGCGGAGGAGAAGCAGAAGATGAGGGGGTCGAGGCAGGCATTGAGGGTGGTGAGCAGCACGGCATAGGCCCTCCAGGGTGGGTTCTCCTGCCGTAGGTACCCCACCACATGAGAGACGTTGAAGGGGGCAAAGCAGAGGATGAAGGCCGCCATGGTGGCAGCCGCCAGGGCCACCACCCGCCGCTTCCTGCCCAGGGCGGCGGTGGGGAGGGCAGCCACGATGCAGACCAGGCGGCCATAGCAGAAGGCGGTGATGGCCAGGGGCAGGCAGAAGAGCACCAGGAAGATCTCCAGGCGGAGGGCCAGCAAGGTGGCCAGCTGCGGGCCAGCGAAGCGGGTGTAGCAGGCCGTGCCGTTGCCCGCCGCGCCGGGCCGAGCCACATAGACCACACTGCAGTGGCCCAAGGCAGCTGCCCAGGAGCCAGCGGCAGCCACGGCAGCGTGGGCTGCACGCCGGCGCTGGCGGTACTGGACGGGGAAGGCAGCGCTGAGGTAGCGGTCGACACTGAGGGCAGTGAGGGAGAGGGTGGTGAGGTAGATGCTGGTGAAGAAGAGGAAGACAAAGAGCGGGCAGAGGGCCGGGGGCAGCTTCCAGGTGGCCTCCCAGGCAGCCTCAGCCATGCGGACAGGCAGGGAGGCCACCAGCGCCAGGTCGGCCACGGTCAGGTTGAGGAGGAGGACGTCAGTGGGCAGCAGGCGCCGGCGCCGCGCCGCCACCCCCAGGGCCACCAGGGCCACCAGGTTGAGGGGCAGCCCCAGGGTGAAGGCGCCGGCGTAGACCACCAGGCACAGGCGGTGGTTGATGGCGAAGGGGGGGGCCGACATTGCAGCCGGGATCCAGTGGGGCCTCCAGATGGGGCAGCTGATGGGGACCGCGATCTGCTCAGGCTCCCTCGGGGTGGCCAACGGTGGTTGGGGTCTACCAGGGTTCAGGGCAGCAGGTCCCTGGGTTGGGGGTGAAGGTCTTAGGAGGGTGGCTGGGGGCTTCCAGGGTAATCTGGGGGGTGCCAGAAGATCAGGGTGGGCGGGGGGGGGAGGGGGAGGGAAGGGGGTGGCTCCGGGCTGGGGAGCCCAGGCTGGGAGAGAGGGCAAGGGGGGGCTGTTGAAAAGGAGAAGGAGAATGAACCCTACCGTGGCAGCAGACAGATGGATAGACAGCAGCGGGGAGGGACGGACAAGAATAAATACCCCCATCCCTGCCCTACAGCACCCAAGGGACCTGGGTTGCCTCTCCTCTCCTTCCCCAGCTGCCCCCCCTCGCCCCCCCCACCGCAGTGTGACCACGGGAGCAGCCACTATGGCTGGAAAGGGGACACTCGGTTAACCCAGAGGAGGAATTTATTGCTGGTGGCAGCTCCCTCGGTGGCTGTGACATGTCCCCAGCATGTCCCTGTCCTGGCAAGTGTCCAAGGGTAGCGGTGGCTGTGGTCTTGGCATTGGTTTTGCATGTGTGTGTCCCCTCCCCCCCCCCACCCCACGGTGACATGTCACGATGCTCGAGGCCATGCCCCACACCTCTGGAGTCCCCCATGTCCCCCTGCCCTTGGTGTCACCATCAGGCTGTCACTCCCCCTGTGACCACATCTCTGTGGTGGCCATTTGCCCGAGTCCCCACATCCCCCATTCCCATGTCCTCTGCAGTGGCCGTTGTCCTGTGTCCCCGTATCCCCACTTTGCCCATGTCCCAGTGGATATTTCCTGATGTCCCCACATCACCCTGGTGGCCACCTTCCTCCATCCTGGTGTCCCCATGTCACCAGAGTCTCAGTGCCGCAGGGCTGCGTATTCAACAGCATCTTCCATGCCCCCAGCATGTTCCTGGGCTGTCACTGGGGGGGACAATGCCAGAGCAGCATAGAGCAGTGTCCCGTCCCTGTCCCCGTCCCTGTCCCCAGCTCTGCTCCTGGGACCAGAGGGGACATTCTCATAGTCGGGTCCTTCGGTGGCCTGGGGGGACAGATGGTGGATGTGATGGGACGCAGGGGGTGACAAGGACACTGGGTGCATGGAGGGACACAGGGTGACGTGGTGGGGACATAAGGGTACCTTCGTAGCTCCGTCGTTCCTCTTGAGGACGCTGTAGACCACAGTGTCCCCTTGCACCCTGTGCGAGGACAGAGTGAACAATAGGATGGGGGGGGGGGGGGGGGGGAGGAAAACAGGGGTGCCGTGATGCCTGGGTCTTGTCCAGAAAGGGCAAGACTGGAGGGGGGAAACGTTACCTGGGGACAGGTCCAGAGCCAGGAGGGGACACCAGTGATGAGTAACTGATGGTGTCATCAGCACTGTGGGGTGGCTGTGGGGACGCAGGTGGCCGAGGCTGCAGGAGGGACCCGGGTGTGGGTGTGGGTCACCAAGAGTGACCTAGGTGGCCATGGCGGAGAGGGGTTCTGCTACCTTTTTGTTGCGGAGGAAGAAGGTCCCCGACGGCTCCACAACCGGCTCTTCATCAGCTGCCATCTGCCGCTGCCACCTGCAGGGACACTTGGGTAGCTGGGTCCCCTAGGGTTGACGCGGTGGCACCTGGGGGCCCCAGGAGCACCCAGGTAGCCAGGGAGCAGCAGTGACGCTTGGACACCCGGGTGCTCAGTCTCACCGGCGGCGGAGGAAGCACCCAAGGGCACCCAGCAGCAGGAGGCTGCCCAGCCCCACACCAAGGCCCAGGAAGGTCTTCCGCAGGATGGTGGCCCTGGTGTCTACAAGGGAGAGGCAACGGGAAGATGAAGACACTCGTGTCCTTCCCGGCCACCCAGGCCAGGAGGACATCCCAAGGGTGTCCATATCCCTTACAGTAGACTGTGATGGTGACATCAGGGGAGTCGGCAGAGGTGATGGAGTTGGTGGCGCGGCAGCGGTAGCGTCCAGACTCTTGGATGCCCACGGCACTCAGCACCCACCGGTCCTTAGAGGCCCGGCCCAGGGTTCGACCATCACGAAACCACTCAAAGACATCGGGCAGGGGCTGGGCGGACACGCGGCAGTGCAGGACCACGCTGGTCATCTCATACACGTCCTCTCCTGGATCCGGCACAAGCTCCACGGACCGTGGCCCAACTGCACCCAGCATCAGTGCCTGAGGACCCAGCTCCCCGGTGGGGGGCACGGCCACCAGGGTCCCACTGGGGACATTGGGGTCCCACTGGGTCCCGCGGGGGTGTTGGGGTCCCTCACCCACACCCTGGGGTCCCCTGGGTCACTTTGGAGGTATCAGGGTCCCTCACCCAGACCCTGGTAAGGGAGGGGTTGTAACTCACAGAGAATGTTGAGGGTGGTGGGGGCGCTGCGGGCAGCCCCTGCGACATTTCGGACCTCACAGATGTAGGTGCCACTATCGGTGGGCTCAGGACCAGGCAGCAGCAGTCTGGGGCCAGAGGCCGGCAGCCGCTGCCCCCCCTTGAACCAGCTGATGTTGTAGAGGGGGGGCTCAGGCCACACCAGCCTCGCAGTGTAGCCACACTGGGCCTCTCCCAGCCACCAGCTCCCCCCTGGGGCTCTGACGCATCCAAACAGCCTGGGGTGGATCTGTAGGGAGATAAACCAACATTTTGGGGGGGCTGAAATAGTGACTGGGAGATCACAACTGTCCCTTGAGCACTCATGGAATGGTAAGGGGGGATAGGAGCAATGAAACCATCATTTAGGGATGGAGGGGGGGGGGGGGGGGGTCTCAAAACTGCCATGACAGGGCTTGAAACCTTCCCGTGGTGTTGGAAGAACCCAAAATGGTAATTTTAGGCTCTCAAAACCATCACTTGGGGGCAGAACGGCAGCGAGGAGGCACGAAACACGGAGGGCACAAAGCCCCACGGGGAGCCCGGTGTTGACTGGGGGACTGTCCTGAAACCACCACTCACACCAGACGATGACAGCAAGGGGTGGGGATTGGGTGAAGCCAGCGACGTTTTGGCCAACGCAGCGGTAGGTGCTGGCTCGGGTGGGCTCGGCGGTGAAGCTGAAGATGGGGCCGGTGGTGGAGGCCTGATGGCGGTCGTTGCGCAGCCATAGGATGGCGGACGGAGGCGGGTGGGCCGGGCCGAGCTCACAGTGCAGCGATACACGGGTCCCCGCCAGCACCGGCAGGGGGTTCAGTACCGTCAGGGTGGCATTCCTGGGCTGGTCTGGTGTGGGGCAGTGGGGTTAGGGCAGGGAACCCCAGGGGTATCTAAGCCACCCCTACCATTACCTCAGCCTCCCCGTGGCAATCTAGGCCACTACTATCACCATCCGGACCACCTCATGGCCATCTAGGCCACCCCTTCCACCACCCTGACTACCTTGTGGCCGTCTAGGCCATCCCTACTACCACCCTGACTGCTCCATGGCCACCTACACCACCCCTACTACCACCTTGGATGCCCTGGGGCCATCTAGACCATGCCTACTACCACCTTGACTACCTTGTAACCACCTCGACCATCTAAGCCACCCCTACTACCACCCTGATTGCTCCACAGCCATCTAGGCCACCCCTACCACCCCCTCGGTCACCCCACGGCCACCTAGACCACCCCTTCATACCACCTTGGACACCCCATGGCCATCTCGGCCACCCCTACTTCCACCCTGCCCACCTCTTGGCCACCCTATTGCCATCTCGGCCACCCCTACCACCACCCTGTCTGCCCTGTGGCCATCTAGGCTACCCCCCCCCCATCTGTACCACCATCTTGCCTCACTCACAGTAGACCTCAAGGAAAGTTGGGGGGGAATCAGCCGTCCCTATGTCATTGGTGGCCTGACAGCGGTAGGAGCCACCATCCACTTCCCGGACCGGCCACAGACGGAACTGGGCTGAGCTGTGAGGCAGGATCTGGCCCTCCAGGATCCAGGCATAGGTGTGGGACGGGGGGTTGGCAGAGTCGCGGCATTTCAGCGTCACTTCTTTGCCCTCACAGACAGGGGACGTTACCTCCACCCGCACATCCCGCGGGGCATCTAGGGACAGCCATATGGGTTGGGGGCAGTGGTAGGACAGCCAAGCGCACGGGGGCAGAAAGGGGAGGAGGGAAGGGGAATTGTCAGGCGTCCCCTGGGACAAGGGGGGGGGTGACACGGGCAGGCATCTTGGAAGGGGTGAAGCCAGCAAGGACGGGCATTGGGACCCCAAAGGATGGGGCTAGAGGTGACAGAGCTTCGTCAAGGGCTGGGGCTATGGATGATTGGCAGGTTGGTCAAGGGGTGGCTCTTGGCGTCATTGGCAGCTGTTGTGCCCTCCCCCATGCAACCACCTCCCCCTTCCCCCCCATGCCACCAGCTTGTCCTACTCACAGTAGACCTCGAGGTCGGTGGGATGGGACTCGACTGACCCCACGGCGTTGGTGGCACGGCAGTGGTAGGTGCCACCGTCGTGGACCTGGGCTGACCGCAGGAGGAGCTTGTCAGTGCTGGAGGACAGCCTCAGGCCGTTCAGGCTCCAGGAGTAGACGGAGGACGGGGGGTTGGCAGAGTCGTGGCAGCTCAGTGTCACTTCCCAGCCCTCGCGGACTGGGGATGCTGGCGTCACCTCCACCCGCACATCCCGCGGAGCATCTGGTGGGACCAGTAAGGACCAGTATGGAGCAGTACAAGCCCAATATGCACTCCCCGGAACCCTACAGACACCCCAGGCACCTCCACAATCCTTCCAGAACACCCTGGAGGGTCCCCACCGGACCTTTGAGGGATCCCCTCAGCCCCCTGTCGATGCCCAGAACATTCATAGCCACCCCAGGGACCTCTCTCGGCCCACTCAGAGCCACATAGAAACACATATCTCCACCAACCCCCCCCCCTCCCCGTAGCCACCCCAGGACCCCCTAGGGATGCACATATGCACACCCCCAAGTCTCACAGTGGACCTGG